GGTCTTGGAAGCCTCTCTGTGATTCTCAGCATTTAAGGTACACAAATGGAAATGGGGTGCTGAGGACAAGTGCACAGTAGGTATCACAGGGTAGACCCCAAAGAGTTCCACGGCCAGCCCCATCCCACCTTATCAATGCTCACCATAGCCTGGCCTTCTCACAGGGTTATTTATCCCTTATTTTGATAAGCCAAGCACTTCATAGCCAACAGGTCTTTCCACCATCAACAGTCATCACTGGGTATGTGGAAATGGAGTGTCTGGATAGTAAGCCAATTTTATGTGGCATGGATATGAAAATATGAAAGCAACCATAAGAGACCAAACTTACTTTGCTCTGGGGAAATAACAGTTAGCTAAGCAAGAGAGTTAAGCGGTTTTTTTCATAGCACTGTGGTAGCTGACCCCGGAATTAAGAGCTCACTGTCCCAGTGCTGGAGAGCTGGCTTCGTGGGTGAAGCACTTGTTGCTCTTACAGAGACCCCAGGTTCGTTCCCAGCACCCACATAGTGGTTCACAACCATCAGCAGCTCCAGTGTCAGGGAATCTGACGCCCTCTTCTGACCTCTGAGGGCACTGGGCATGCACATGGTGCACACGGGCAGGCAAACCCATCACACACACAAAACAGAAAAAACAATCCAAAAGCAAATCAAAAACAGAAGAAGAGCTCAGCATCCCAAAGGATGGCATTAAGCTGGGCATGTGTATTTTAAGGTTAAATTACTGTGCTTATGAGATCTATAAAAGAAAAACGCCTCTGACCTGTGAGCCCCACCTGCCCAAGGACAGATAACTTCCTGGAATTCTGGGGTTATTGTTCATGTAAGAGAACAAATCGAGTGTTTTCGCTTCTGTAAACAAGCTTGGTTGCCCCAACTGCACAGAATGTGCTCAATCACATGCAGATGGAAGGTAAGTAGACAGGAAGTGTGTCAGGATATGTGCTTTCCCCTGACTGGATGAAGGTAAGAAGTATGTAGCCTTGTGGGTTTTGCCTTTATAAGCCTCTAACTAACATAGTTCATTGCCGTTTTCTGGGAATCCTGAGAATGAACCTGGCCGGTGTCCATCATCCTGGCCAGTATTTAATAAAGCTTGCTTCAAATTTGGGGAAAAAAATTGTGGTAGTGGTCTTATTCTCCCCCACTGGGATTAACACGTGGTGACTCACACCTACAGATCCAGCACTCAGGAGACAGGGGCAGAATAGAGTGGAGACTAGCCTGGGCTATATAGTGATAGCCTGGGCTATATAGTGATAGCCTGTCTACACACACACACACACACACACACACACACACAGATAAACACATGCACACTCACACACATACACACACACACACATACACACACGCACACACACACAGACACACAGACACCCAGATAAACACATGCACACTCACACACAGACACTCACACACAGACACACACACTCACACACAGATACACACACACACACACAGACACCCAGATAAACACATGCACACTCACATACAGACACACTCACACACAGACACACTCACACACAGACACACAGACATACAGACACACACACACACATAGACACCCAGATAAACACATGCACACTCACACACAGACACACTCACACACAGACACACTCACACACATACACACACACAGATACACACACACACACACAGACACCCAGATAAACACATGCACACTCACACACAGACACACATACACACACACACAGACACACACACACACATAGACACACAGACACACAGACACACACACACACACACAGACACCCAG